TTTTGCGATCGCCTTTATTATTATGATAAAAATATTTGCGACCCAGAAAGAGAGGGTGGAAATGAGAGATAATGGGGGGAGTTAGTAGTAGTAGTAGTAGTAGTAGTAGTAGTAGTAGAAGAAGAAGAAGAAGAAGAAGAAATTAAGCAAAGGAGTAAAAGAAGAAAATATGAAAGAGGAAGGAAAAAAAATTAGGTAAGCACTAAAGGGAAGAAAAAAGGAATTGAAGAAAAATATTCTCAGCCTTTGAAAAAGATTATTAATTGGGGCTCAGTCAGTCGTCAAAGAACTAAGATAAGAAACATAATTAGATCACGACAACCGTGATCAGAAGTATACCTGAGCGAGCTAATGTGGTTGACCGCTACGAATGAGCAGTGAGTTCAATCTTTATTGGATGCCCAAAACATGTCATCTTGCGCAGGAATATGTTTACCTTAGTAAATAACAACAGCCAAATTTTGACTTCGTTTGAACTAGCCAATTTAATTTCTCTTGTGAACCTCAAAGAAACCATGGAAAAAAAATTATTAAGTCCAAATGTTTCAACTGCAGTTAATTTAACTCGAATGAAAAACCTCTCAGTTTGAACTCGAAGCCTCACTCAGAAAATATATGAAGATATTGTTAAATCATCTGTTAATTATTTATCGTGAAAGGAAGTCCTTTCTTCCAACTCTCCCTTGCTATCTTGTCAATGAGTTCTTACAGTTTTCCTTCCGAGTCGGATAATAAATACTAGTAGGTCTACTAGTTTTCTTAGGAATATATCATTGTATTGTACGGTAAACAAATCCGATCAGCAGTCGTAACTTTGTCTTGATGTTCTCTCTAGTTTGTTTCTTTTTGTACATTCATACATTTCCCAAATGAAGGTAACTGACCCGACTGGAATTCGAACACGGCTCTTTCCTTTTCCAATATTCTTTACTGTCGTCATTATTATTATTATTATTATTATTATTATTGATTTCTGGCGTTTACACATTTCTTTCCGGGTCCTGCCCAGGGACCTAAGGTTAGAAATGGCATCATGACACTTTCCACTGACAAAAAAAATTGCATAGATAGAGCCCTTCGTAAAGTGTGGGCTGTACTTGTCAGAACAATTTTTTGTATCTCCTTGAGGCATGGACTTCCAGGAATCCCATCAATTAGTCTACTGCAATCTTTTCCAACCAGTCCTATTATTATTATTATTGTTATTATTATTGTTGTTATTATTGTTGTTGTTGTTAGTTAGTTAGTTATGCTGGAGTAACAATATACGAGATCTAAAATACTTATTCTGACACCCAACCTAATAAGGATATACGGGGTACATTTATATAAACGTAATACGGTGACAAATTTTGATAAAAGCAAATCCTAGCTTTGCAGGCGAGGCCCACTTAGAATTAACGTCAGGTGATGTAACTGCGTCTGCTCAGACGGTGTGCGATTGTGGGTGTGAACAAGTGACTTCGTGACTTCTTCGTGACTCCCAAATCACCTTCGATACCTCATCCTTCATATTTAAAAAATAAAAAAAACCTACAACCCTCTCTACAACCGACCATGATGTTTCCCAATACACCTAGATGCACATAACATTAGTCACTAGGGGACATACTCAACTCATTACGGTCAGGTAGCCCCTAAAGGACGTGCTCAACTCGTTAAGATCAGGTAACAAGAAGGCAAATCTATGGAACTGAACAAGTTATTTAGTGAAGCTCATCTTAATTCACAAAGACAAAGCATGTCTATGGCACCGACTCTAACCAGTTAAGATCGGAAGTCATAACAGCCGTGACTAGTAGAGTATGAGGATCTTCTATTATTATTATGATTATTATTATTATTGGTGTAGGTGATGTTACTGTAGTTGTGGCTGCAACTGCTATTGCTGCTGTTTTTATTGATGATGATGATAATGATGATTCTACCGTTATTTAGAAGTCTTGGGTTTTCATTTTTTCATTTTTCGGCCCGCACACAAGTCAGACTAATGAAAAAAATATGAAAAATGATTAATCTGTCCAATAGTTGTGACATGGGAAATCAGAGGCAAAACTGAAAGATGTTGTTCTTATGAAGTATTGATATTAATATATTTATTTACAATTGATTTCCTAAAATTATAAATCATAATGCATTTTATATATATATATATATATATATATATATATATATATATATATATAATAATTTTTAAAATAAGATTCCGTCGTTACATAAGAGTTCTCATGTTTCAAAAACAAGAGCCCAAAACTTCAATATAGTTATTAAAATTAAATTGAATTAAAGTATCAAGCTCTGTTTCATCTTAAAGAGAAATTTTTGGAATAACTAATCTTGAAATTTACACTTTATAAGCATATTCACTCGTAAAATTAATTACTATGGGAACGGCTGAAGCAATAATTTAAATAGGGGTTAATATATAATAATGGTTATATATATATATATATATATATATATATATATATATATATATATATATATGGTGGTGGACTCTCCTTCGTATTCGACGTATGAGGGTCAAGTAACTCAGTTCCTAGGAACATTATAAATATATGAATTGCCACTTCTACATGTGTAATGAAAACAGCTTAATGCGAATAAGGATTCTATATTGATGACATATCAACTTCTGTGCCACGATCATGGCCATTTTTATTATGTTCATAGACAAGAGTCATTCACATTTAATATCATCATGATTATTTCTGAATGTTGCGTAATATTGTAATATCTCACACCATCTAGCAGAACGGAGGTTTGAATTAAAGAAGATTATACACTATAACAGGTTAATTTTTTTAATTTTCAGTAACTTTCCCACTGCCGTAATATTTTCATGGTAATTGTTCTGATGAGTTTTTTTTTTTCTCTACGGTATCTAGACTTTATAAATTTAGTAACAGTACTAGATTGGCGGAAAGATATCATCCATTTTACAGTTGAAATGTCAAGTTGTAACCATAAGTTCTCTACTAACAGTTTCTTCTATCGCACTTCTCGCTTGTGGAACTCTCTTCTGGATTCTTGCTTCCAAGTCAACTTTGATGTTCAAAAATATAAATGCAATGCCAATCGCTATATCCGGTTTCCTTAAATCCCGTTCTTTTATTGTTCTTCCTTCTTAATACTTTTTTTTTTCATTTTTTCATATTTCTTTCTCCCTCGCTAACCCCCTAGTGTTTTAATGGTTTATTTTATAAAGAACACAACAAAATGAAAAGTTATTTGACGTGAATAACAATTCATCGGTCTCATCACATTATATAGGTATATACTTACTTGCATAAAAATAAAAACGACCTTTCTATACCTGCTTTTCGACATCAAAATAACTTTTCACGTTTGATGCCGACGAAAAAACATTTGAAATATCCAAATTCTTGAGCTAACTGACTTACAAAAGATAGAAATATTACTCGAGTTGAATCTTGCTGATAACTCCGAACAGATTTTTCACCAAATGCTCACCCAGTACAAGACCCAAGAACCACTCAAGATAGAGGGTTCCTAAATGAGGCTGTGATTTGATTCAAGGGAAGAAAGCGAATACAGATTATGAGGATATGTAGGATAGATAACGGTTGATCCTAGAGATTAAGATTTTACTTATCAGGAAAGCATGCTCAATAAAGTAGCAGTTGGCGTGAAGAAGCTGTCTGAGTGGAACTCCCTTTCTTACCAATGGAGTACGAAAGTAATAAGGATGAATCAACTCATGGCGGATCCTAGCTGTAAAGGCCTGAAGTGGTAGAATTGAGGAAAGTAGATTGTAAGTGTTCTAACAGGGGACGGAAATTGCGACACTGAGATCAGGAGAGGTGTTAGGATGGCCATAAATGCCTTCCAAAAGTTAAGCAAAGTATTAAGAGACAGAAAAATTTCGCTAGGAACGAAAAAAAAAGGAATTGAACTATTACGTAATATTTGTCCTCCATTATGGTAGCGAATGCTCAACAATCTCCTCAAAGATGAAGAAGAAACTTGCAGTAACAGCAAATGTGGTTCTACAGAATGTTGCTGAGGATACCATTGGCCAAACATGTTAGCAACAATAAGGTTTTGAAGAAATCGGAAACCAAAAGAAAACATATTCTTAACATCAGGAAGAGGCAGCTGAAAATTCTGGGACACGTAATGAGAAAGAAGGGCTTGGAAAATCTGATACTCACAGGACAGATTTAGATAAAGAGGGAAAGGGGAAAACAGCTCGTAAAATACTTGATGAGCATGAGTAAATGGATGGTAGAACAGGGTTTGGGAGAAATAGCAACAAAACAGAACATATTAAGATCTACAAGGAACAGGAAGATGTGGAGGGCCATGATCGCCTACGTGCTGAATGGATGAGACGCATAAAAGAAGAAAGAAGCTTGTCTGAACATTTGCAATGAAAATAACCATAGAGTAACAATAGACTTGTAACGTTTCGTCTGTGGATTGAAGCATATTATTTCCTACAGTTTTTTTTCCTTAAAAGCGAGGCATTGAAAATTATTAACGGTCATAGAGTGAAATAGATTTCTCCTCTACATCTTAGTCTTGTATTGAATGAGGATCATTGTGTTGGCCAATATTTCTGTTACTTCTTTCTAGGTTGGAAATATACACTGACAGAAAATGATCTTGCAATACACTGAAGGATTTATGTCATACGTTGCACAATAATACCTGTCGAAAGCAAATGATTACCAATATTTTGGGGGATAACTATTTTATGACTGACTGACCAGATTTTTTTTACAGTTTATCAAATATTTGAAGGTTATTTAAAGCCAAAAAATATGTTTAGATTGTAAGAATTGTTTGGGGATAATCATGATTTACTGATATAAACCCAACTAATTAACCCATAGCTCGGGAAGAAGAGGTGGATTCATACCTTTCCCAAGGGTATTTGCCCTTAAGTGAATATAACGAATCCAAATGAAATTGGAACTCGACGCCCCAAGTTCAAATTCAAGGCCATTATCACTTACACCACCCACACATCTAAGCTTACAGCACCTGGTATTCCCAAGTGGTCACTCATCTAGGTACTGACCAGGCTCGGTGTTTCTTAACTTTGGTGATCGTATGGAAACAGGTGTTTCAACATGATATCGTCGTAAGCAAGTAGCTATTTTTAGGCTGAAACTCATACACTAGATTGCACGTACAAATATAAGTAAATACTAAAATCTGTAACACAGAAACTTTTTAATAGTAACTTTATTGTGAAAAAAACTTACATAATAAAATCCGACATAGTATAGATAGAGAGAGAGAGAGAGAGAGAGAGAGATAGTGAAGAGACATAGATAGATATTAACAGAAATAGATAGATAGATAGATAGATAGATAGATAGATAGATAGATAGATAGATAGATAGATAGATAGATACACGCTTGTGCAAATTAATTGGAACAACTGATTTAGTTTCCTTTCTTTCACCATACGGTCAGTTTTAGACCCACTGGAATGACAGGGTGAAATCGATTTCTATTTTTTTCCTCAGAATAGGTCATTTGCAGTGATGTGCAGTAATATGAATCTATTTTCGGGGTGTATGATGAAATTTGTTTGACCTTGAAAAATATTTCGTCATTCATGATTGCATCAGATTATTATCACGCCCAGACACTATTGTCTCGACTGTCGATTAGTTGCCCTACGGTCATTGCCTGCGATGGACGTTACTCCAAGGAAGCATAAGAAAATTGTAACACTGCACGAACACACTCGGCAATCCTTACCAGTGAGCAAATTGAAGTACTATAGACTGGCCTGGAAACTCTCCTGATTTAAATCCAATCGAGAATCTTAGGTCAATCTGCAAGGAACGACTTCGTGGAATGGACATCCGAAGTACTAACATGTGCACTGGGTCATGTTTCATTGGAAAAATACGAAAAAAGGTAAATAGTAACGAAATTTTTCGTTTTGTTTCAATTAATTTGCACAAGGGGATAGATAGATAGATAGATAGATAGATAGATAGATAGATAGATAGATAGATAGATAGATAGATAGATAGATAGATCTTTTTTTTGCTACCTCGAGTAATGGAAGCTTATTCCTAGATTCAAAACTGAATCCCATCGTTTTACTGTTGAAATATCTAGATTTAAATGTCAGTTCTATTCTAATAGTTTGTTATCTCGCACTTCTCACCTGTGGAACTCCCTTCTGATTATTTGCTTCCCTGTCACCTACAATCTTCAAAAATGTAAATGCAACATCCATCTTTAACTTCTGACTTCCTGAAACCTATTCTTTTATTGTCCTTCTCCTCCCTAAAGACTTTCTCATTCACCCCCCCCCCTTGCTTCTTAGTGGCATTATCCAGTGGCTGGGGGTGAAATGATAAAAAAAAAAAAAACTAGACATGTGGTTGATTCAAAAATAATTTCCGTTTCTATTTATCAACTTTATTTTTGAAAAAGTAAAGTACAGTCCCATTTTATCTAATTTTATATTCACCATTATTTGTAGATTTGGAGACATTTATCAGATTTCCAGTGTAATTTCGCAGGTTTTGATCTGAAAATGTTTTTGATGAGCACTTGAATCTGGTTTTTGTTAGAGAAAATTGTCCCCATCAAGGAGTTTTACAATGATCGAAAATGGTGATAGTCGGTTGGTGCGAGTTTATATGTCGGGTGGGTTAGAAGAGACCAACCATGTTCCAAAAAGTGTTTCCTTTGTTATTTCTTGCCATCTGCAGCCCAGAGTTGTCATGGAAGAGAGAAAAACATTTTCTTTAAATCCACTGTCTACACAGCTACTATTTCTTATAGAAAAAAAAAACTACGGTATGTCAATGTATTGCAGATTTATCTTAACTGTCACGTATAATTAGGAGTTAGGATGATACATTCGTCATTATATTTGGTTTCCAAAAAGGGAAAATATTTATGACTGAAAGTAATATATTACCGTACATTACCTTGTCACACGAACGCCAATCTTTTCCTTATTAAAATATTATAACCAAAGTTTTCCTTGTCAAATTTATTCTTAGTTGTTTGACGTCTACGTATTTTAACTTTCAAAAACCGAACATTACAAAATAATTATAACAGAATCTATTTTAGGAATTTACCTGAATTTTTGCATCTGGCAGGTCGTGTAGAGCAGATTAACCGAGTACCAAATTTTATGTGTTACTTCTATTGTATGCAAATTTTAATTTTCGTAGAGGAGGAGAACATTTTTTCCCTGAATCGATTGTGTACACTGTCACTAGTGTGCAAAACTAAGGTATCTTGGTCTACTCTAAATGGATTCTTAATTGGTACATATGATTAGTAGTTAGGATTATATGTTCGTCATTACAATTTGTTCCCCAAAACGGATATAGATAGATAGATAGATAGATAGATAGATAGATAGATAGATAGATAGATAGATGCTTACTTATATAATCGAATTCAGTTTATCAGCGTGCTTATAAGCGAACCATTACAAATATATCTGGCTGTGAAAGAATATATCAAGTGAAATATAAAGATAAA